GGGCGGAAGATCGATGTTTGCATTTGTTGTTGTGCCTTGTTTGTTTTGTTGCCTCTTACAAACGTCATGGTGTGCCTTCAGTCTTTGTACTATGCTTTGAATCTCTTTCTTACACTGTTTGCAAGTTGCTCTGCATCCTGACTTATTAGAAGAGGTGGTTTTGATATAAAACTGCCAAATACTGTCTTCTTTTCTTCCAGCCATTGCGTTCTTTTCAAACTGACTTATTATTATTACACAAACACAAAACATCTACACACTTTTCAACATTAGCCTCTCTTCAAATTTTGTGACGAAATGAATAAGACCGCATAAAGGCGACGGCATTTATAGATTACGCCCGGCAACGTGTGAAAACGGGTCGCGGGCCCTTGCGACAAGAATTTTCCGTCGAAAATGCGTTCGGGCAAGTATTGAACCGGTTCAACTTCGCTTGAATCTCCTCGGCAACAATTGCAATGACTTTAAAACAGCTAATTAAGCGGATTTATCAACTGATTTAATAAAAATAAAAAAAATCATGATTTTTTTGATTAATTTAAATAAATCAGTGATTTTATATTTTTTTAATAAAAATCAATTTTTGCCCAACACTGCCTTAAAATAACTTGAACACTGACTTCCTTCTCAGGTAGAACAGTTCTGCTTAACATCGCCATTCGACAACAAGTCCTGGGAAATGATGGACGAGATGATCGGCAACGCCGAGGCCTTCTACCAAGCATTGGAAATTCCCTATCGAGTGGTGAACATCGTGTCTGGAGCCTTGAACAACGCCGCCTCTAAAAAGCTGGACTTGGAGGCGTGGTTCCCCGGCTCCGGAGCCTTTCGGGAACTGGTGTCGTGCAGCAACTGTTTGGAGTATCAGGCCCGAAGGCTGCTGGTTCGATATGGACAGACCAAGAAGATGAACGCGGCCACTGACTATGTGCACATGCTGAACGCCACCATGTGCGCTACGACTCGCGTGATTTGCGCCATTTTGGAGGTGCACCAGACTGAGGAAGGCATTCGGGTCCCGGCGGTGCTCAGAGACTTTCTGCCGGAGCCCTACCGGGATCTAATTCGCTTCGTCAAGCCGGCCCCAATCGACGTGGACAAGGAGCCTAAAAAAGCGCCGAAGAAGAGCAAAGCGTAATAACAATTGGATAAGGATAAACGATTTCTGAGCAACAAGTTTTTCATTGCTAAAAAACGACCATGCCTTTTTTCTGTTTTATTTTAAAGTGACTAATAGTAGTGATGGGTTTAATTAAAAATGAGCAAAATATAACATTAGTGCAAGCTCTTATCAGTAATGGAACACTAATTGTATTAAATATTATAAACAGCTTAAGTATATACATATTTAATAAAAAACAATTAATATAGCACGTGATATTTGGCAGACAAAAATCGTTTTCAAGCTTCGGGGCTTTATGTCTCAAGGTGGCCACAGAATTGGACAGCTTCAGACTCTAGAGGGCGGCCGCGCGCTTTGCCCACTTTAGTTATTCGAGAAATGCTTTATAAATAGTTAACTTTTAAACGAGCAACAAGTTTTTCTTCACATTTTTTTCACGACAGCCACTTTAAAGGACTTTTGAAGACATGCACATACACGCATTAGGTTAATAAACCAACATAAATGAGGCGGAGAAGTATTCCTTAAACAAACTACTCACAGTATCTGCAAAAATATGTACACCCAAGGCGACGTTTTAGAAACAAAATTGTTCTAGCTGAAAAGAACAATCTTATATGCTTCATTCACTGACTGAAGGGCCGGAGATTTTTTTATCAGGAGGCATTCTTGGGGGTATCGTTTGGGGTGGTTTGCTGCTCCGCTCTGGTGATGTACAGGCGAAGCAGGCGCACTTTGCTACCGGTCAGGCCGCTGATGTAGTCGGCCAGTCGCTCCTCGCCGACCGCCTTATATAAGGCCACCATGCAGAAAATGGAACTTTTCCTCACTGGGCTCTCGTTATGGTCCGTACCCTGTAAAGCAGGCGTTAAAATCAACCGTTGCTCGGTTGATATGCACACGTGATACCTTCAGAATCCCTGGCATGATTTCCTTAAGGTGTTGATCAGTGATCTGTTCGGGATTAGCCTCAACCAACTTGGTCAACATCTTTAAAGCACCCAAGTCCTCAGGATAGGGACTTGTGCGAATCAGGGGTGCCAGTGTGTAAACGACAGTGTCAAAGGGACTCACACAGCGAGCCATCGCAGCCGCTGTCGTTTCAGCCTCTTTGATCACCTGAAAATAACCACATAAATATGGTCGGTTAACAGGTTAATGCCCGGAACTCGCCACTCACCTCCCGTTTCTCGTCGCTGTGCGCGTTCAGCACCTTCAGTGTGATCAGCTCCACATACTTCTCCCATACGCATTTCAAACTGCTATTTTGGAAGATAGCTGCGATAATCTTGAGGGACAGAATTCGGTTCTGGGTATCACCAGCCGCCAGATGATCGATAAATATTCGTAACAGTTTCCTGCAAATAAACACATGGGCCAATGAGTCAATGAAAACATCCTCTGGAATCGACATGTACTCACTTGAAGTTTTCCATCACGCCCTGAACATGCCCCTGGTGGACAAGGTCCAGAACCTGCGTGAGGAGTTTCCGCTTGTCCGCCACGGAAGTGGTATGATCTATACAACACCGCTCTATCACGTCCCGTACCACTGCGTCTGAGTCCTTAATGTCTCCTAAGCTCCTGCATCCATTCGAGTCAGTCTCGGAAATGCCATTAAGACCGGCGAAGGGCAACGACCGCGATCCTGACTGCAGGCCAAACTGTCTGCTGTTTAAATCCTCCATTTTCTCCTCAATAGCGGCAATGTCGTTCCTCATGTCGTTGCCGGCCGACATCTGCGAGATGCCAGAGTCTTGAGACGTCGTGTCCCGGTCACCGTCCAGCTTCGGCCCTGTATAACACGGACAGAATAATTTAAGCCCTCATTTAACACAGATTATATATATTTTTGTGGCAACCTCGGCGAGAGCAAGACGTGGTTAGTGCGACATATTGTTTAGTGGAAATAAAATCCACCGAACATATTTTAAATACAACCCAGACAATTATTTAGATTAAGACACAATAGCGCCCCATACACGGGCGGATTATTATTTTTTTGGGTAGATTTTCTGAAACCACTATGATGCCAGCACAGGCAATAGCTATCCGTTTCTTGCTTCGCATTTTAACACATAGTTTAACTAATCTGCCTCTGTCACGACCAGATCTTTCAGTTCACTTGAAATACCACGCGCTAGACCAAGTCTGTCTGAAGCGTAAGATTTCACTCCACTAACGGACGGATTTGATACCTCCAATCCAACTGGAAGAATCGGCAATCGTGCTTGGTATGTTAATTAGTGGACAGGAAAATATTTAATTCGTCCGATCTGGATCTGTCGAATCAAATCTCTACGTATCTGAACTGTACGGATAATCTGCCCACGTATGGGGCACTAATATCTGTACTAAACAAGGACAGCATAGTGCAGTTTTGTGATAACACTCTTGTAATACCAGTCAGGGTGGACACGCCCTGGTACTGGTAGCAAGGCTTTGGGAACTTTGGATTTGAAAAAACTCCATTTTGAAGCTCTGAATCATTCTCCACTAATTAAAGCGATATATTTACACATGGAGAATCGAAAAAGAAGATGGCTTATTTTGCAAACTCATGCTGTTTTTCGACTCTCTTTCCGCTCTGGAACAAAACACTCACAAAACTTACCCAGAGTCTCAAAACTGTAGTTCTGAATCTCGGCCGTAGTGCGCCGCAGACTCTTATACACCTCCTCTTGATCGCCGAAAGGTGGAGTGCTGGGCGACTGCGGCGGCTTGGGGCTGCTCGGCACCATCGGACTTCCGGGCTCACTTCCAGTCGACGTTTTCCGCATGTGATTATGTACAATGTTGGAAGCGATATCTTGTTGTTCCTGACGGAAAAACCAAGCGGGTCTAGCAGCAGAACATCACACATATCAGCGCTTGCACAAAGACTCACTTTTGGTAGTTCAGTCAGCAGGAGCGTAACAGCCGCGGTGTCGCAGTTCCACAGGGCAACGATGCACACTTTAGCTGCCTGTCGAATCTCCATCGACTTGGCATCTTGCGAGTGAGCGATGATCTTCTGCAGCGCCTGCAGCGCGTTTGAAGGGGCCACAATGGCGGCCGCAGCGTCCGGTTGGCTGCAGAGCGACGTCAAAAAGTTCAGCATCACCGTCTTCGACTTCACGTTCGGTGTCTGGGTGGCGTCCAGCAAAAAGCGGTACACGTTGGGAATGAGCTGGTCCACACCGAAACAGACTCGCACCAGTTCCAGCGTGCTGATCAGCTTGCTAGCGATCGAGTTCAACGTTTCACCTCCAATCTTCATGAAAACGCGTTGCAGCAGCACATAGATCCAGTACTCCAAGTCATCCTTATGCATTTTGATCACCTGCAAGTTTTGGTCACATTGAAATTTCCACATAAAACCACCCACTGGTCCCACATACTTCCTGAAGCGTGTCCAAAAATAGGGCCATGCCTTTGGTGTGAGCATCCGTGAACATTTTGGCAAAAATCTCGGTGAGATGCTTTAGCTCGCCGTCGGTAAGTTTCACGTCTTGGGCCAGGTAGCTTTGAAGGGACAACAGTCCGTCGCGACGCTCCTGCCAAGTAGTGCTGGCGCATAGCACGATAATTTCGTTGATATCCTGCAGAAAACCATAATTAGTTCACACAACCTGTGGAAACTCAATGGCGCATCAAACACCTACCCGACACGGTTCCCACAAATCCCTGCTGGTCAGCCGCTGTTGGGAACCGCTCCAGGAGTACGACTAGTGAGAAATTCACAGTTATAAACGTAAGTCAACTTGAATCAAGAAAATTCATTAAATAGGTTCAGCAAGCAGCATGGAACAACACCCCAGAAATAAGGGGAAGAACCGCTGGAATAAACTACCCCAAGGAAATACGAGAACTTATTAAAGAGAAGAGGAGAGCTAGAAAAGAGTGGCAAAAATCCAGAACGAGAGAAAACA